TTCTCCGCTTGTTTCCAACGGTACTCCCGGGTGAAAGCAAGACAATGCTCGAAGCTCATGCTGTTGCTTTGGACGTGGCACCTGGCTACCTGTGGGTAGTGGTAAGGAGAAGTTAGTTATTCTTCTTCGATAAAGTGCATGTCGTACTGTACAATAAGAACGGACAGCCCATTAAAAAAATTGACGTAAGCCTCAAGGGCTACAATTTCGTTGTTGCGATGGACGTGCGCAACAATAAAGTTGTCGTGGGAGACGGAAATACAATTATGATGTTTGATCCAAACGGCTCTTGCATTTGGAGTTCAGAACTGCCTACTAGGGCACGCGGGATTGGGGGAGTTACATCGGACAAGGAGGGAAATGTCCTGCTGACGGATGGGCATAAAACCATCCAGAAGTACAATCCCTCCGGAGTAAAGATACTTGAATTCGGCACCTGGAAAGGGGAAGGGGCAACTGCATCATCCCACTGGTATTTGTCTGGACACATCTGGTCGCATCATTGTTGTGAACGAATCGAACAACCGGGTAGACATGTTCACAAGCCAGGGCAAGTTTGTCCGCACCATCGTGTACATTAACACCCCGTGGTGTATCGGTATGGGACCATGTGGAGAGTTGGTGGTGACTGGACAGACAGACACACACGCTGTAACTTTTTTCCCACGGCACATGGTGCTTCCTTGAAGCCCTAAATTGTGTTCACTTAATGGTTTCTTTATTTCTTTATTTGAATTTACCACATGCAAAAACAAGTGGAAGGGAGGACAAAAGAGTTGTATCAACGCCTTTACAAGTTGGATGGTTGATCTTGTTATTTCTGCACGACTGATTCTCTTTTGTTTATGTACCATACATATAGTATTATCAAATGGTGCCGTATAAGCCCACACTGGCTGGGCGCGGGAAGCCTCATTCATTCATTGTAACGCGTAGATTGTCAAAATTGTTGTCTTTGAGATGACATCTATACCAATCTTAGTGTACTAAATGGTACTCTAGACGTTCAGGTCCAGACCTGCACCTAAATACATCAGTGAAGGGTAGACATCCAGGTAATAAGATACGCCAAAAAAGAGTAGCTAACAAAAGGTAGTGGATGCTACTTGAAACGTCTGACCGTTTCCAAAAGCATATCCAGTTGCTTGAGTAATTTTTTGCTATACCTAAATAATTATACAGATACAGGTATTAAGTATATGAGGAACCAACATTGATTTGTAGTCTCTTTTCACTCCAGATTATATTTGAAGGAAATATATATATATATATATCCACGTTTTGTTTGAATTGCTTGTAGGCCGTGGGCGCATTGCAAACTGCCATAGTGCTGACATGTCCATGTAACTTTGTGGCTAAATAAAAAAAAAGAAATTAATGTAGGCATGCGCAAGTGTATTGTAATAGGCTCAAGTATGTATTTCACTTTGTCGTCAACATGGGGGGGGGCTGCTTAACGCCACGAGAAAGTCTAAATTAATGGCAAGATTTCGTGAATTCTTTATTCCTATTTCATTAATTTCCTATAACAGATTACCGTCACAATTTTGAGAATAGAATGTGCCCATTATCCTATAGAGTAGAATGTTAAGAACCTTGATATGTTTATTCAATGTATGGTCGCCCACACACATACCAACTCCGGGCACTGAGTCTAGATTGTGCCGCTGAGGTCGGTTTTACCCCACAAACCACCAACAGAAATCTTTCCGTGTGTAGAAAATGCCTTTATCCTTGTTCTTCACATCTGAACAGAATTCCATTATGTGATATTCTTACACCACGAGATAGTGATTCTCGTAATTTTTAGGATTTTGTTTTTAACGATATGTCGTAGAACATTGTTGAGTATGTAGCATGAAGACTTTGTTTCATCTTTGTTGAACGAAACATAAAAACTGCACATACTGTACAGCATATTGTTCCTAATTTTGAGGATTTTCTTTTTAAAAATCTGCAGTAGAACATTGTTGAGTATATACCATGTTTTACCTTTCTTGAACCAAACATAAAAACTGCAAAATTGTACAGCATATTGTTACTAATTTTGAGGATGTTCTTTTTTTAACAATCTGCAGTAGAACATTGTTGAGTATATACCACGTTTTACCTTTCTTGAACCAAACATAAAAACTGCACAAATTGTACAGAATATTGTACCTAATTTTGAGGATTTTCATTTTTTTAACAATCTGCAGTAGAACATTGTTGAGTATGTACCATGTTTTACCTTTCTTGAACCAAACATAAACCTGCACATATTGTACAGAATACTGTACCTAATTTTGAACGATCTGTGGTAGAACATTGCTAAGTATGTACCATGAAGACTTTGTTCATTTTCTCGAACCAAACTTAAAAACAGCACATATTGTACAGAATATTGTACCTAATTTTGAGGATTTTCTTTTTTAACAATCTGCAGTAGAACATTGTTGAGTATATACCACGTTTTACCTTTCTTGAACGAAACATAAGAACTGCACGTATTGTACAGAATATTGTACCTAATTTTGCAGCAAGAAACATGTAGCATATCAGTATGTGGTGAATTGGCAAAACATCTTCAAGTCACACCAACATGTCAGCTACAATCCCAGTTTGGACAAAACGCATGTACGTACTTTTAATCTTAGCGCTGACATGAATTGTCTGGTTTCAGAAGATGACTCGTGGGCTGCTTCATCTACATAGAAATGAGTTGATTCTGTCTGCATGTTACAAATGTTAAGATAATGATATGATCTCTGATGATATAAAAGTTGACTCATCTGATGTAGCTTTATTCCTCACATTTTGATGCATACCTTACTACTAAACAGTTACTTCGCTGCTACAATGATGCTGGTATATTAAAGTAAATGTAAAAAGGAATATAAGAATTGATATTGTATGAATCAATCTGTATAATAAAATTATCTGGCCTCTCAAGTACTAGTACACTAATACTAATTAAGTTAGATTGAATACACATATTCTGTGGGATCTTTATCTTACTGTTGTACATGTATTGTTTCATTAATATATACTTTGACATGTCTTTGGTAACTGGGTAACTGGCTGTGCTATCAATGTGTTATTGAAGCTTTTCATGTATGGATATGTGTTAATATGAATAAAAACTTTACGTAATTCACGAAAAAGGGAAGAAAAACAGAGTCTGTGCTACCTTCCTTTAAAAATATTGGTGTTTCACGTTTCTACAAAATAATTAGATGTTAGTATACCTTCTACAGCAATCAGCCAATCCCCTTAAAATCAGATATGCTTGAGAGTCCCTGACCAAAGCTAGGTACCCACTTTCAGCTGAGCTAACAATCAAAATACGTGTAAAGATCCTTTCTCAAGGGTACAACACCAAAAGCTTGAGACCATCTTCGTTTGATGAGAAGTACGCGGGTGTAGAAAGAAAAGTTCATCATACATGAATAGTCTACCAGCTCCCAAAACTCAATTACTACTAGGTTAATCACACACGTATTGTCTACTGGCTTTGAAACCTCCACCCACATCCACAGACGAAGAAGTTGGATCAGTCCACTTTAACTCGTGCCAAGGGAGGGACAGCTTTACGTCTAAAATTCTAAATTCATCAACACATTTCTCAAAAAAAGTCTTTTCAAAACCACTTTTTTTCACACGTTTTGCATTTCATGCTAATCTTGCTTTAACCGATTTTTCGTTTTATCTTAATATGAATGAATGAATGAACTTTATTGCTCGACAATCGTACATGGTACAATGTGTGGCAGTAATACAACAATACTTATAAAACTAAACTATCTTATTACATTTCTTACTACAAACTACTATATATATGAACAGTACAATGTGGCCATTTTTTGGACTTCAGCGTTAAACACCCTGTTGTTTTTATATAATACCAGACAAGACACCTTTGCGGGGGAATCTATGACGTGCATGGGATATGTTTATTCAATATTTATATCATCTCCCTGCACTGAGTCTCCATTTCGCTATTGTGGTCGGTTCTCTCTGAAGACAAGTCGCTCGTCGAAGCCTTACTGTAAGTACAGAATTTCTGAATCTTTCTTCTCCATATGTCCATATCACTCTACAGTAGCACTCCAAGGTGTAGTCAATGTTAATGTGTTGATATGTTTGGTAATGTAATGTTACAGTAATATGTTTGTAATTTCCAGCTGTTATGAACTAACAGTGTGTTGTAATTTGAACACGACACTACTCAACATGGTAATGTAACTGTTAAGGCGCGTCTATATTTTCCCTACAAAGAAAGAATGGAAATCTATGAAAATAAACCTCAAGTTCACCGAGTAACATGTTGCATATTGGTAAGCATATATGCAAGGAACCGCTAAAATAACATGCAGTAAAACCAACATGTAAGCTACAACCTCAGCTAAAACAACACGTGCTCCACGCACTGATAATAAGTAACTGTTTAGACAACCCTATATTTCCACCTTAAAAGAAATAACTAAACATCTATGACATCAAGTTATAGCCAAGAAACATGTAATATATTACTATAGGAGGAACCGCTAAACAACTTCAAGTAAAATAAAAGCAACAATGTAAAAAAAAAACAACCCCAGTCAGGACAACACGTAGTTCAAACTCATGATTTTAGCACTGACATGAATTGTCTGGTATCAGAAGACGACTCGTGGGCTGCTTCATCTACATAAAGATGTATTTATTCTGTCTGACATTTTTCCCAGTGGTCTTTACAGTGCACATAGCGATACAGGTTGAGGATAGAAATTGTTTAAATGTGCTGTGTTCTAAGAATCAAATTATAGTAATAAGCAAAGACTAAACATGATCATTGCCATGAACATCAAGGCAGACTTTAGCATTGTAATAATGTTTGTAGTTATGCATGTTTATGTTACATCTACATGTTGTACAATTTGAATGCAGAATCTGTTTGATTGTTTCCGTCCTATTACTTATTATTACTTATTATTACTTACTTATATGTAGAACTAAACAAAGGAAGAGATCTTGGAGCCATGGCTGAAAATATGCCATCCAACACCGTACCAAAAGCAATGGTTGTCAGAAACGAAGGTATGGCAAAATCAGACACAGAAACTGTGCCATCCAAGTTCAGGCAAGCTTCCGAAGGTGCCAGTCACCACATCTCTGGTCGATGTGAGAAAAATAAAGACAATGACGATGAAAATCTGTCTGACACAAGCGATGCTGCTGCTGAGAACTTTCAGACAATCGATATCGGCCCTGGTGAGTTCGATACATACGCCATTGCATACATATGCAAAGAACAGGCTCTTCGCATGAAGAAAGCCGTGGAAGAGACCAAAAACAAACATTTTCAGGCAACTAAAACGGCGCCCGACAACACTTATAATGATAATGATACTGAAACTTCAGCTTTCAATGCAAATGACAGCAACGTGCACACACAAGCCAGGGATCCGAATCCGATGTATACACAAAACATGAACCCTCAACCGATGGACGCCGAAAACGACGTTAACCCCAATCCGATGTACCTACAAAGCACCATGGAGCCAAACGCCACCATTGGACCCGCCAGGAATCCAAACCCGATGTACACACAAAACATGAACCCTCAACCGATGGACGCCGAAAAAGACGTTAACCCCAATCCGATGTACCTGCAAAGCAGCCCTGGACCCACCTTCAAGTCAAATAAGAGTGATTACAATCCCTGCACACAGACATCAGCTGATACACATCAGCAAGCCTTCTCCAGGCCAGCGACTAACAACGATGACAACCATTGCCTTCAACCATATGCTGTAACACGCTGCCAACCAGATGCATTTACACATCATGAACTTGATATTGCTGTTCAATACGAAGAAGATGAAACATTCGGTGAGTCAGCAAACAATGATGGCAATCCCTGCATCCAACCATATGCCCACCAAGAAGACCAGGAGCCCTCACTCAACTGTGATGGTGGCCAGCTGCCAGATGAGGTCATTCAACCATACGCTGCCGCATACATGTGCCAGGGTGACTTGGAGCGGAACACAACTTCAGAAGACCTGTCCTCCCAGAATCAGAATCAACCAACGGCGGCTTCGAACAACGATGTCCTGCATGCACTCGATCCAAATCCGATGTACGCTGCCGCAGACATGTGCCAGGGTGACGTGGAGCGGAACACAGCTTCAGAAGACACTCAAGGAAGCCTGTCCTCCCAGAATCTACCAGCGGCGGCATCAAACAGCATCAATGACGCCAATGATGTCCTACACGCACTCAATCCAAATCTGATGCATGTGCCAAACGTCCAGCATCCTGCAGCGCACGGTAAGAACTTTATCAACTTCATAAACCTCTTGCTGGAGAAAAATCTTGAAATTCTTTTATTGTCATTGGTAATTCCCTTGTTGACACAACGCCCTAAAATACAAATCATTATATGTATTTTTAACAGATCTGCTGTTAACTGCAATATTTTTAGGTGATTAGTCAGTAATTATCCCGATGAAGGCGACAGTTGAAAATTTGATCTCTATGTGCTACTTGTTGTTGGAATAAAGTTCCAACATTTCACTTTGATTACTACCAACATGATATTTCAGGCTGTACGCGTAGCCGAGTGATCCTTGCAGTTGAAGCGGCTGTCGTTCTTGGGTTGTTCATCGTCGCAGGAGTCTTTCTCTGCTTATCCTTAAGCGCCAGGCCGCCACAGGTACGCTTCTGTCTTATTATAGCCTTGTCAATTTTCTGAGATAACCATCCGTTTACTTTACCCGTATACTTTATACGGGTAATTGGCATCACTGGCAGTATACATTTTGTACATGTACCTTGTAACTTACGTAGACAGATATAGTACAGTTCAATAGATCACTCCTACCCTCCCCTGAGTGTATAGTGAACGAGCCCAAGAATGTATGTCATCCCCTAGCAAGGTTTTCCCAAGGGCATAGGACTGTGGGCATAGATGTGTGTCAGCAAAATTCCAGACATGCCTGTGGAAAAATTCCTGTGCAATTCCTAGAGTTCTTGCAAACTCCACACAATACTGTACCATTAGGCTCCCCCCTGAGGCGTCGCCGTTGATATCGGCCTATAGCTATCAAATTCAGAAAGGGTTCAGATAATTTATCATGATCTCCATAAACCGATTGCGATAGCCTGCATTGACGATATAATCCTCTATCAACAGCAGACAGCGAATACAACTACTACTGCTGCTACTACTCCTGCTGCTACTACTACTACTACTCCTACTACTACTACTGCTGCTACTACTGCTGCTGCTGCTGCTGCTACTACTCCTGCTACCACTGCTGCTACTATTACTACTACTAAAGCTGCTGCTACTGCTACTACTGGATCTATCCCCAAGGTCCCGACAGTCTCCAACACCCCACATCACAAAGGTGAGTCTAACACAAATATTTAAGAGACATTTTCTTAAACTGGGTCCCTCTGTGTCATTAGACAATGTCTTAAACTTGGCCCCTCTGTGTCATTAGACAATGTTTTAAACTTGGCCCCTCTGAGTCATTAGACAATGTTTTAAAGACTTTGCTTCGCTGTGTCATTAGACAATGCCTTAGACTTGGTCCCTCTGTGTCATGAGGCAATGCTAGGATATTGGATTGGACAATGAACAAGATTATTTCTTATGGTGAGTAAATGAAGCTATACGCATCAGGTTCTATATATGTGTGTGTGTGTGTGTGTGTGTGTGTGTGTGTGTGTGTGTGTGTTTGCGTTTGAGTGTGCGAGCGTGCGTGGCGTGGGTAAATGTAAATTATATTTTTCAATTTTGTAAATTACATATTTTAGTTTGAAAAATATTTTTTTATCACTCACGGCAAAAGGTTGTGACGTAAAGCGAGAGAAGATCACGTTTGGCGGGGACGGAAAAGAACCTGGGAAATTTGATTTTATCTCGGGAGTTGCCGTGTCTGCTGACAATGAGATATTTGTGACTGATAAGTTAAACAGACGAGTCCAGGTCTTCAGTATATATGGGACCTTTTTCCGCCTCTTTCCAACGGTACTGCCTGGTGAAAGTAAGACAATGAATACGTTCCCTTTTGGTGTTGCTTTGGACGTGGCGCCTGGCTACCTGTGGGTACTGATAAGGAGAAGTACATGGTTCCAGGATGAAGAGCATATCGTACAGTACAGTACGAACGGACAGCCCATTAAAAAAATTGACGTAAGCCTCAAGGGCTACAATTTCGTCATTGCGATGGACGTGCGCAACAATAAAATTATCGTGGGAGACAAAAGTACAATTATGCTGTTAGACTCAATCGGCTCTCGCATTTGGAGTTCAGAAGTGCGTACGGTAGACGGGATCTGGGGAGTCACATCGGACAAGGAGGGAAATGTCCTGCTGACGGATGGGTATAAAACCATCCAGAAGTACAATCCGTCCGGAGTAAAGATACTTGAATTCGGCACGTATGGAAAGGGGGAGGGGCAACTGAACTCTCCCAGAGGTATTTGCCTGGACACCTCTGGTCGCATCATTGTGGCGAACCATTATAACCACCGGGTAGACATGTTCACAAGCGAGGGCAAGTTTGTCCGCACCATCGCGGACATTGACTTCCCGCAGGCTGTCACTATGGGACCATGTGGAGAGTTAGTGGTGACTAGCATATTTCCAAACACTGTAACTATCTTTCCACGGCACATGGTGCTTCCTTGAAGCCCTAAATTGAGTTCCCTTTATGGTTGATGTTGTTATCTCTGCACGACTGATTCTCTTTTGTTTATGTACCATACACAATGTATTATCAAATGGTGCCGTATAAGCCCACACTGGCTGTGCACGGGAAGCCTCATTCATTCATTGTAACGCGTAGATTGTCAAAATTGTTGTCTTAAGATGAAATTTACCAATCTTAGTGCACTAAATGGTTCTCCAGATGTTAAGGTCCAGACCTGTACCTAAATACGTCAGTGAAGGTTATAAATCCACTTAATAAGATACACCAAAAAAGGTAGTGGATGATACTTGAAACATCTGACCGTTTCCAAAAGCATATCCAGTTGCTTGAGTAACTGTTTTTCTTGCTGTATCTAAATAATTATACAGATACAGGTATTAAGTACATGAGGGACCAACATTGTTATGGGTTCACTACACCACAAAGTGGTGTGGTGAAACCATATTGCTTTTTCTGATGTTTCTTCTCCTCCTCCTTCTCCTCCTCCTGCCATATCTTTAAATGGATTCAGCTTCTTCATTTTTAGGGCCTAAGGTCCTGAAATTTGGTATGGAGGTACAGTGGGCAAATACCCCTAGGCGTTTTTTAAATTATTGTGATACAGGCTTTTAGAATGGTTTTATTTGAGTTTTTTGGCTGTGTTATAGCAAATGTATTACTGTGTTAGTCTGCCTTGTTTACCACGTTTGGGCATGAGTCATCACAATGGAATGCAGGGCATCAACCAATAGGCATGCAGCTTTCCTCT